TCCCAGACTTCCCTCTCCGCAGACACCTCCTCCAGCTCTGCTGGGGGAAGCCCTAGGCGCTCCCAGGCCAGCCGAGAGACGTAGTCTCTCCAGCGTGTCCTGGGTCGTCCCTTGGGCCCCCTCCCAGTGGGACGTGCCTGGAACACCTCCCGAGGGAGGCGTCCAGGGGGCATCCGAAGAAGATGTCCGAGCCACCTCAACTGACTCCTCTCGATGTGGAGGAGAACCGGCTCTACACTGAGCCTCTCCCGAATGACCGAGCTCCTCACCCTATCTGTAAGGGAGAGCCCAGCCACCCTGCGGAGGAAGCTCATTTCAGCCGCTTGTATCCGGGATCTCGTTCTTTCGGTCATGATCCAAATTTCATGACCATAGGTGAGGGTAGGAACGTAGACCGAACGGTAAATTGAGAGCTTTGCCTTTTCGCTCAGCTCTCTCTTCACCACGACAGACCGGTGCAGCGTCTGCATTATTGCAGCAGCCGCACCGATCCGTCTATCGATCTCCCACTCCATTCTTCCCTCACTCGTGAACAGGACCCCAAGATACTTGAACTCCTCCACTTGAGGCAGGGACTCTCCTCCAACCTGAAGGGGACAAGCCACCTTTTTCCGGTCGAGAACCATGGCCTCGGACTTGGAGGAGCTGATTCTCATCCCGGCCGCTTCACACTCGGCTGCTAACCGCCCCAGCGCACGCTGTAGGTCTTGGCAGGAGGGAGCCAGCAGAACTACGTCATCTGCAAAAAGCAGGGATGAGATCCGCTGGTCCCCGAACCAGACCCCCTCCGGTCCTTGGCTGCGCCTAGAAATCCTGTCCATAAAAGTTATGAACAGGACCGGTGACAGAGGGCAGCCCTGTCGGAGTCCAACATGCACCGGGAACAGGTCCGACTTAATGCCGGCAATGCGAACCAGACTCCTGCTCCGATTGTACAGAGAACGGATGGCCCCTAATAAAGGGCCCCCGACTCCATACTCCTGGAGCACCCCCCACAGGCCAGCAGGAGGGACACGGTCGAATGCCTTCTCCAAGTCCACAAAACACATGTGGACTGGTTGGGCAAACTCCCAAGAACCCTCAAGCACCCTGCAGAGGGTGTAGAGCTGGTCCACTGTTCCATGGCCAGGACGAAAACCACACTGCTCCTCCTGCAGCCGAGGTTCGACAATCAGCCGGACTCTCCTCTCCAGCACCCTGGCATAGGCCTTTCCGGGGAGGCTGAGAAGTGTGATTCCCCGATAGTTGGAACACACCCTCCGGTCCCCCTTCTTATGGAGGGGAACCACCACCCCAGTCTGCCAATCCAGGGGGACTGTTCCCGACCTCCACGCGATGCTGAATAGACGTGTCAACCATGACAGCCCAACAACATCCAGAGCTTTAAGATACTCAGGACGGATCTCATCCACCCCCGAAGCCTTGCCACCGTGGAGTTTTTTGACCACCTCGGTGACTTCAGCCTGGGTGATGAACGAATCCAGCCCCAAGCACCCCGTCTCTTCTTCCCCCATGGAAGGCGTGTCTGTCGGGTTGAGGAGATCCTCAAAGTATTCCTTCCACCGCCCGACAATATCCTCCTTCAAGGTCAGCAGCTCCCCACTCCCACTGAAAACAGTGTTAGCGAAGCACTGCTTTCCCCTCCGGAGGCGCCGGACGGTTTGCCAGAATCGCTTTGAGGCCAACCGATAGTCTTTTTCCATGGCCTCTCCGAACTCCTCGCAGGCCCGAGATTTTGCCTCTGCAACCGCCCGGGCCGCGACACGCTTGGCCTCACGGTACCTGCTTGCTGCTTCAGGAGTCCCACAAGCCAGCCAAGCTCGATAAGACTCCTTCTTCAGCTTGACAGCATCCCTTACTATCGGTGTCCACCACCGGGTTCGGGGATTGCCACCACGACAGGCACCGCAAACCTTACGGCCACAGCTACGGGCAGCCGCATCGACAATAGAGGCAGAGAACACAGCCCATTCGGACTCCATGTCTCCAACCTCCCTCGGAACCTGAGAGAAGCGCTCCCGGAGGTGGGAGTTGAACACGTCCCTGACCGAGGGTTCCACCAGACGTTCCCAGCAGACCCTCACTACACGTTTGGGCCTGCCGAGTCTTTCTGGCTTCCTCCTCTTCCGGCGTATCCAGCTCACCACCAGGTGGTGGTCTGTGGACAGCTCCGCCCCTCTCTTCACCCGAGTGTCCAAGACATGCGGCCGAAGATCAGAAGATACGACTACAAAGTCGATCATCGACCTTCGGCCTAGGGTGTCCTGGTGCCAGGTGCACCGATGGACATCCTTATGCTTGAACATGGTGTTCATTATGGACAATCCATGACTTGCACAGAAGTCCAATAACCACTCAGGTTCAGAGCTGGGGGCCCGTTCCTCCCGACCACGCCCCTCCAGGTGTCACTGTCGTTTCCCACGTGTGTGTTGAAGTCTCCCAGCAGAATGATGGAATCCCCGGGAGGGGCGCTTTCTAACACCCTCCCCAAGGATGCTAAGAAGGCCTGGTACTCTGTACTGCCGTTCGGCCCATAGGCCGAAACAACTGTCAGAGTCCTCCCTTCGACCTGAAGGCGAAGGGATGCGACCCTCTCATCTACCGGGTGAACTCCAACACGAGACGGCTTAGCTGAGGGGAGACAAGCAGCCCCACCCCCGCCCTCCGTCTCTCCCCGCGGGTCACTCCAGAGTAGAAGAGAGTCCAGCCTCTCTCAAGGAGCTGTGTTCCAGAGCCCTGACTGTGCGTAGAGGTGAGCCCAACTATTTCTAGCTGGTATCGCTCCACCTCCCGCACAAGCTCGGGCTCCTTCCCCGCCAGTGAGGTGACGTTCCACGTCCCCAGAGCCAGTCTAAGCGCCCGCGGATCAGGTCGCCGAGGTCTCCGCCTCTGACTGCCGCCCAATCCTCTATGCACCGGTCCCTCATGGTTCCCCCTGCAGGTGGTGGGCCCACTGGGGGATGGCCTCGCGTCGCTCCTTCGGGCTGGGCCCGGCTGGGTCCCGCGAGGAAGAGCCCGACTACCAGGCGCTCGCCGACGAACCCCAACCCCAGGCCTGGCTCCAGGGTGGGGTCCCGGCTCCGCCGTACCGGGCGACGTCACGTGCCTCGCTGTAGTCCTCATCATAAGGGTTTTTGAACCGCTCTTCGTCTGACCTGTCACCCAGAGCCTGTTTGCCTTGGGAGACCCTACCAGGGGCATTTAGCCCCCGACAACATAGCCTCTGGGATCACTCAGGCGCTGAAACCCCTCCACCACGTGAAGGTGGCGGTTCAAGGAGGGGATTTATGAGTAGTTTCAATTTATGAGTAGTTTCAATTTGAATTCCACATGGATCAGTCTGGGATGCCTCCTGTAGAACGGTTTTGTAAAAGGGAGGGACATTCAGTACAATCCTTGGAGCTGACTGGGTACCTGCCTTCCATGTCGTGCTTTTAGCCAATCACAGCAGCAGTAGTAGCTGAGATGTTTTGCATTCTTGATTTGTTTCACAGAGTTAACTGACAAATGAAACCCTTACCAAATCTGGTTGAGAAAACTCAAAAAACATCTTTCCATCCATAAAGCACAAATTGCGTCCTTACTAATTTTTCAAATGCAATAGAGGCATTTCCAGCAGTTTTTTTTTGGTTCAGCCTTCCACCTCTGGTTGACCAATGATGTCAGACATCTCACTGCATTTTGTTGGTCCCAAGGCATCTCTTGGCTTCTGACAAGATGTATTTTTGTCAGTGTGAATTTCCAAATAAAAAAAAAATTCATTTTCATTGCAAGGTAACCAAATAAGAAGATCTTTTACATGATGTGCCAACCGGGAAAATGAAATATACCAAAAATAGTAATATAAAAAGATGTAAATTAGCACTTTGTAACTTCAGCCTTTAGGGGGCACTAACCTTTCACTCCCAGGTTTAGCATCCCTGAGAAAGTAGTTTCTCAAACCTTGGGAATACAGTCTTTGGAGTTTTGTATGTGGTGTGGAGTGCTTCTGACCAGTTTTTAAATCAAGGAGGACTGGCCTTTCTCTGTTTTTTCAACGATGTTTCAACACCTTTTTCAACTCACAATAGAGCCCGTAAATTACCTGACAAAGATTCCAGGATAGGTGCTGAAACCTCTTTAAAAACATTGAGCAAAGGTCCGGTTGCCTTCCAATTTAGGCCTGTTTTGTAGTTACATAGGAGAGTTACTAAGATCTGAATATTCACCTGACAAATCATTCAATATGCCACAAAACAGGCTTAAATCGGAGGCAACCAGACTTCCACTCAGGTTTTGACGCCTTTTCAGGGTTCTTTGTCAATTCTGTCGGCTCGACCAGAGCAATCTGTAGTTGTACATCTGATCGATAATATAATTAATAATATAATTATTGCATGATTTATTTATATTGTTAGGATAATTATCATTGATGATGTGTCAGTTTATTACACCTTGGTATTGGCTGCCTGTTGTGTGTCAGAACTGATGTTTTCCACAATAGTTAATCTAATTAAGACAGATCCTCTGTCTGGATATATATATATATATATATATATATATATATATATATATATATATATATATATATATATATATATATGGCTATGGCTGCCTTCTTTAAACTCTAAGCAATTTCTCTGATCTGAGTAAGATTACATTTTCTATCACAATCTTGTCATGTCTCCTGGTTATTTAATACATATAAGCTATGAAGCGATAGAGCTTCAAGGTGCATACACAGCGCCTATCTTTACCAATATGTTGCTCTGATTTATGTCTCAGGGAAACATTAAGTTGTTATAATGCTTCAGCTACATTCTTTCTATAGATGTAATTGGGGATAACAACAACTGTGGCACTGCTAACTAAAACAACTTAACATTGTCCCCCATTTAAAGTCACTTTCTGGTGTAAGTTTATGCTTATTGCAGCGAACAATATGGAGGAACTGCAGAAGCCACCTGTCCTGAATAAGGATGCATTTAAAATGCATTAATTGTTTTCTGTGTCTGTCGCAGGTGGAGCGAGACGAATGCAGCCCCCACAACCTGACTCTGGGTTACTACGTCACCAGTGGGAAAACCGTCTACGTTTCTTCCATGGTTGTTGAGGCGCTGAACGTTTACGGCTTTGACAAGCTGCTGTCTGACATCAGGCAACACACCCCGCTAGTTAAGGCGGTTCTGGTTCCCGTGGCAACCTGGGTCAGCGCTCCACAAATTTACCTGCAGCTAAAAACAGGTGAGGGGAAACTTTAGATTAAAACTTATGACTCGAAAATCCAGCTAAAGCACAACTTACTGATGGACTTGAATCGTAAAAAGAGAAACAGCTACGTCATTGGAGGATAAAAATGTCACCTGGAAGATTAGAACAGGGACAAAATTAGAAAAAGCCTGATCGTGCTCTCCTTTAATACCCCATGCAGACCCCCGTGATTGCAGAACAATTTGTCCAATCACCTAGTTACCTCTTAAGCCTCAAAAACACTTTCCAGCGAACAAGTGAGCAAGGTCAGACAAATCAGAACAGGCAAGAGATTTTCTGCCACATTTTACATGTTCAGTCTGCTATGATATTTCTCTATCAAATCCTAGTTTTGAATCTGAATTTATTAAAACTAATAAAGTAAACCAACCACCCTGCTGTTTAACAAAACCACATTTCAAAAATTGCATTGATGCAAAATTCCTTTGTAATTACTTTCATTAATGGATGAATTTTGTTTGTTGCATGATCATTTATTTAATTGGTGCAGCATGTGGTCTGTGTCTCCTGTGTTGTGCACTTGTGCATCTTTCACTGTGAAAATTGAAACACAGTAAATAATTCATTTGTTTTTCTGAGTGAAATAAGCATCAGATCCAATACTTTACACATAGAACTGTGAAATCTGAAGTGCACCTCTCCTCTATTCCGTCCATCTTCTCCATATTCATGTGAATATCCAAAGTGATACCAAAGGACATGAGAGAAAAGATCTGAACAAAGTTGGAATATGGCACAAATTCATAAACCAAGCAGCTTAAAAGGAAGGTGCTGATCTGATTATTTCAGAGTAAGACAAATATGAAATCCCCTCTAACACAGTCAGTCTGGAGTGAGAGATAATCCAATGTTTATAATGTTTATAAATATTTATTTCACGTCATGACCGCCATCCAATGCAGATCATTGGCTCCATCCACATCTAGTGGAAACTAGTGTGATTGGATGAGTCAAATAACGCAAACACTCATTGGTTAGCTAAAGGAAATCATCAGAAGCAAGCAGGTGTTCTTCAATCTGCTAACGTGAATTGTCTATGCCATGCTACAATGTTGGATTCAGAAAAAGATGTTGAAATGTCTGAAAGGTCGGACACAGGCGAGAGCGTATCGGGAGATGGAGACCAATAAGACCTCCCTCATCCTTGACCCTATCTCCAAGAATTTTTAGAAATAGTTGAAAAATTGAGCTTTCAGTTCATATAGTGGCATCTGGCTGTTTATTTTTTAAAGGTCACTTTGCTTACGTAGTTTTTGGAGCACATACTTTTTGACTTTTACTTGAGTAAAGAGATCAAGTTGATACTTCAAGTTTTACCAGAGTGTTTTTAAACTGCAGTATCTATACTTCTACTTTAGTAACAAATATGTGTACTTTTGACACCGCTGTGTTGCACTACATCCTAAATACTTGGTAAAGGCTCAGGAGAAAGTCAGCGTCAATCTTTCTGCAATGTAAAACAATTCAGAAACAGAATCCTCCATCCATCCATTTTCTGTCACGTTTATCCCAAGCGGGGTTGTGAGGGCTGCCGGTGCCTATCTCCAGCTGTCCATCACAGGGCAACACAGAGACACACAACACCATTCACACACACACCTAAGGAGAATTTAGAGAAGCCAATTAACCTAACAGTCATGTTTTTGGACTGTGGGAGGAAGCTAGAGTACCCGGAGAGAACCCACACATGCTCAGGGAGAACATGCAAACTCCATGCAGAAAAACCCCCGGGCCGGGAATCGAACCCAGAACCTTCTTGCTGCAAGCCTACTGAGCAGCCCCATAAACAGAATCATAATTACTTTATTAATCCCTTGCTGAAAATTATTTTCTTGCAGTGCAAATTTTTAGAAAACAGAGAAAAATAAGATTGTAAGAACAATACAGCAAAATAAGATATAACATAATAAGACTGAATAAAATAAAAAAGTAAAATAAGTAAAATTACAACCCACACAGTAAAGTTACACCCTTCCCATATAAACAGTATAACAACTAGAAATGTTTAATATATTACTTTGGGATTTTAATATAATTGTACAAAAAGGTGCACACCTGCGAAAAGGAAGAAAGATGATTTTTTTTCATTAGATAAAAATGTCCCATGCAGATTTACCTCCCACCCCAAACTACCATCACTACCTTCTGCTGCAGGATTTTTAGGAGGTAGATCTGCAGCTGCAGACTTGTGAGCCCTACATGACCTGTGATGTACCTCAAACCAATCCTCTTCTTTCATTACACCGTGTTTGTGGACTGCAGAACTAATAGTTCTCTTGCTGATAGACTGTCTGATCAGGGAGTTGGATCTGTATGATTCTTCCGGAGTTTCCATGGCTTGATTCTTGACCAATGCTCTTCTTCTACAGCCTATCCGTTCAAATAGACAAACATTTTTCGATCGATTTGCAGATAGTCGCTCATGATAGATAATCTGATATTTAATCCTACAGAAGAAGACTCTGATTCCTTCTGCTTCTCAATATGCAGGATTTTGTGTGTCTCTATGATACCAATAGAATGTACAAAAGTTCAACCTGTATAATTAATTTTTCGTATTATAACTTTCTTTTTTAATTGTTTGGTGTTGAATTATAGTGTCTTGTTACTGTGTGCGATCATTGATCGTCTGACCTGAGCCAACAGCTGATACATCTTCAGCAGCAAAAACAAACACTATCTGAGGTTAAGTCTAAAGAATAAAGCACCATGGATAAGATATCCAATCCTTCATGCTGCATGTGGAATGTATATGTTTGGTTTGTAATGTTGAAAAAAAAAAGAAAGGGATGTCTGGGTGACCAGTAAACCTAAGCAGCAATACAAACAAAAAAAGATTATCACCTTCTGAACTAAAACCCGGCTAAAACCAGCAGCTCTACATCCATGATGGAGAGTTACAGCTTGGGGTAAACAATATCGCATCCATCAGCAGATTACGTTCGGTACCAGTCGCTCTCTATTTCCTCGCTCTATTGCATGCTTAATATCTTTTGTTTTGTGAATTAATTCTAAACAACATGTTCTGACCTAAATTCGAACATGATGCTGATAAGTGCAGTCTGCCATCAAAGACCCAACATCTTGCACTGGGCTCTCATTCTGAATAACTCTGCAGATGCAAACACATAATCCAATGCAGATTGCACTGCCGTGGGTAAATTGGGAAATGTATTTATGGTTAATGAGCTGAACAACTCATAGGTTGATTCTGTGCCTCAGTGCTTTGTTTCGCATGCATAACTGTGTTAATGCACTTGGAGGATTTGATGTGGTATACATCGCAGTTCCTGCAGTGAAAGTCAATTGGTCATCTGGAACACACAGAAGCCGGAGAAAACCTGTGGTAAAGCAGTTTCAATTAGGTAAAGCTGTAAACAAAACCCGGCAAATCAAGAGCTACTTACGTTGTTATTCAAAAAATAGGACTTAAAAATATTAGGAAAACTGCTGCATCACCCTTGATAATTCTTGCTGATTGTTATTTACATCCTTGTTTTCCATTATTGCAGTTTGCTGTGACAAATTTTTGTGTCAATCTTTGGCTGAAATAGTCAACTAACTGGCCAAATACATGCTTTGCATGCTGTGAATGCACATCCCCATAAATATCAGAACCAACCAAATACTACATCTATGCCGTACTCAGGGATTGTTATTATGATAACATTGAAGTTAAAATGATGGTTGATAAAATCAACCATCACAAACATACATTAAATACACAGTCAAAATCAAAGGATGCACCTTTACTTATAATGAATGAGTGTGATCAAATGCAAATAAAACATAAAATCATAAAATCATGTTTGATGCAGGGCTGGACAATAATTTTATATCAATATATGTCACAATATCAAAAGAATACCCAATGTTTGTTGGGAATTCTTGGCAGTTTTATGTTAGCTTTTACCTTTTTTATATCACTATTGAAATTATATGGTATCGTCTGAAATACAAAATTATATTATGATATAAGTTTTGGCCATATTGTCCATATGTAGTTTGCTGCACATTTGTAACAACAGTACAGGGATAAAAAAAAACTACTGTGTCAATAAATTTGATGGTGTTTTAAAGGTCCTATATGATGCCATATGGTCAACTCTGCACCAGCCATTGAAATCAGTGGGAGAAGCTTCATGAAGCTACACCCATACCTTATTGTTAGCATCAAAGAGCTCTTATGTGCAGACAAATAGACAAACAATACAGCATTTTTTTATGCTACAAGTAGTGATGGGACTTGATAAATTTTTTTTATTGAGTTAATAACAGGTTCTTTATAATTTTTTTGGTAAAGTCATATATAGATAAAAAATAACCAACCTTTTAAATAAAAAAATAATGTTTGCTCCTAAATGATTGAATAAACCTATGCCCAGAGAAACAAATATTTATTGTTTATTGCTATGAGAACAGCACATTTTAAACAGGGCGTGCACGAGGAGAAATGGGCTCGTGCATGCTCTTGCACACAATCTTTTTTTTTAAAGTGGAGAGGTGGCTTTTATAAAACGCTCAAAAATACCTTAAAGGAGGGCCCAATGAGTAAGAGTAACATTTCAACACATTTTTTGAGACAGAAATAACCTTTTAGAAAGATTTAAACCTGCAAAGAAGTAAATTTTGCATGATATAGCTCATGTGAGATTAGATCCATCCCTCATAGGGAGCAACTTGTTCTTTTTTGGCTGCTTTGATGGTATATAGATAATCTTTGATCTTTTTTCTCTCTGGTTTACAGTTTTGAGATTCGTGGGGCCTACAGACAACATCTACTCATGCAGTTTTGTCCAGATGTTGGAGAAGCGACTGGAGAACGCATTTGAAGAGGCTCAGGATAAAGTACTGGAGAACTACAACAGACTCACGGTGGAGGTACGGGATGTGTGCACTGAGTCTGTGTATGAGGCAGACAGCCTGACGTGTCGCGCCTGCATGCAGCTTGCAAATCAGACTAACAGTACCATACAAATTCATGAGGATTTACAGCTTCTTGAAGAAGCTCAGATGGTAGCATACTTATTCTTGTTTTTTGCAGTTTTTTTAAAACAGGTTTTCTCGCTGTGATCAGGTGACTTTCTCAAACAACCGTTATAGTAACACTCTGCACTTTACTCAAAGGCCAGCTTCTGAGTCATGCTGTTTATATTTATGAAGACATCAATCCGTAACAAATCAGGTTTTTATACATAAATCATGTATATTTTCTGCCAGTCTTTCTTCTATTTGCAGAATATCTGCTGTTCATACAAACGCAGGCTGAACCGTAAAGTAGGTCTCAACAAGCAAACACAGATATAGGCTCCATTCATAATTTATGCCCTGAAATATTAACGCTCGCAGAGAAATGTGATGGGAGTTCTCTGTATCTTGTATCGTTATCCATTTTTACATAACTTTGGGAGAAAGGCCTTATTATGGAGAGAAGAAAATCTTGTCCACTGGAGTTCGATGTGCATTCCCGTGCACGTCTTGGATATTAGGCATGATGGCTGTAGATATTTTTGAAAAGATGTTTAAATTATGAATAAGGCCATGTTTTTGTTTAGGTTTTTTCTACAAATGCAAAAAAAAAAAAAAAAATCAGAAATCTCTCAAGATTTTTATCTGCAGGGCAGAGTGCGGCCTAATTAATTCAGGTTGGCGTGTTTATCCTCAGATCCAGAGTGTTTCTCAGGAGTCTGGCTCCCCATCCGTTACACTGGTGTATGTGGTTAAAAACCAGGACGCTGTTCTGAACGGGACAATATCCAGCGGGCTCCTCAACCAGCTGACGGCTGAGCTGGTGGGATACTTCCTGTTCTACCCGCCGCTGATGATAGCTGAACGTAAGCGCAGATTTACTTTCTTTTAATGGGGTGTTGGGTTTTGCCATTTCTTATTTTTTTAAGCGTTTCACTGATTTCTTCGCTTTTTGCAATTCAACCAAAGAAAAAAAGCATTATCCCAAAAAACATACGAACCAACTCTCTCCTAGGCAGTAAAACCATCAAAGGTTCCCTATAATAACACATGAACAGCTTGTAGAAGATTATTTATTAGGTCTGTCAGGACGTCTGGCTACACCATGTCTATCTATTAATAGTTTGATGTCATATATGTTTTGTTTCGATTTGAACTTAAGATGATGCACACATTACAAATCTTTTAGTTCACAGACTAATTCAGAAAATTTTCCCAAAAATCTTGTGCATCATCGAGGAAGTTTTTCTTAAAACCTTTCTTTTTGTTTGCTTGTGAATCATGATAGCCTTTTTTACCTTATAAATGAAATTGTCATTTGAAAACAAAGTTTTCTGTTCTCTTATGCTTTCTCTTTATTCAACCCAAGGATGTCCTGATCTGATATTGATATCAGTTCGCCAAACAACTAATATTGGAATATGTATCAGCCTGCATCTAAAATGTGCGATATTAGTATCAGTAGTATTCCAATTTTATTGTTTGAATAATATTACTGTATTTGATCAAGCTTTTTCTAACATTTTACACTTCAAAATAAACCATAGAGTAAGCCTGATTTTGTATTGGATCAATATTGGAACGGTAAGTACTCCAGGCCGCATTATGGGTATCTTCCTCATCTTCATCACCTCTTATTTCTGTTTTCTCATCGATTTCATTGTGCTTCATTTGAAAGTGAAAATGTTTAATGTTACTGGTTGTTTTGATTGGGCAAAGGTAGCGCTACAAGACATTGGATACATCATTTACCCACAATGCATTACTGTGTAAAAAAAAGCACAATGGCATCCGTGTGACAAGATTTTATTTAAATGTATAAAAACTAAACAGATTTAAGTATTTCTACTGTATTTTTTAGATAGAAAATAAATATGTCTCAGATAAAGCTAACATTTGAAGCCTTTGCTGGATTATATGAAAGTATTTTTCTTTCTTAACAAACATGTCAGTGGAAGTTTAAATTAGTTATTGTCACAGTCTTGCTGTTAAGTTTTCTTTTGAATATTCAGTTTTATTTTGATCCATGTTTTCTAGTTTTATTAGTTTAATTCCTATTTTGTTGTGTTTTCTGGATTTATTTGAGTTCGAAGGTTTTTCTTTGTTGCCGTTTTGTGTTTGTCTCCTTTTCCCTAGCTCCCTTCTAGAATCCTCTCTCCACACCTGTTTCCAATCAGCTCATTAGTCCTGTCTTTGTTCAGTCTCTCTTATATACTCTCCCTGTGCAGTTCCTCAGTGCTAGTTCCTCGTCTTTCCCTGGCTCCTCATGCATGTTTTCCCTGAGGTCTCCATCTTTCTAGTTTTTCTGTACTTTTTATGTTGATTTTTGGATTCCTGCCTCAGTTGCCTGTGAGTACTTTCATTAAATCTTCAAGAACTCACCTCTGCATCCTCAAAACCTTAAGTATAATCCCAACATTCAAAAGTCTACAGTAGGTGTTGCACCATCAACCTCAGGAGTGAAAGTCAATGTCTTACAGCTGACGCCACATTCATTGGTAACTATTGGTAACAGATGGCATTGGAAGTAAACACTAAAGTTACAACTGTGTCCAGTGGTCTGCTCAGATTTTGATCACTACATTGTTTATTCTAACTAAAATAGTTTTAACCAACTAGATTGGTTGGAAAAACAACCAATCTATTCTTGGAATATATCCAAACTCTATCCAACTGACAGCAACCGTCCTACAAACTCCCACATCTTGACTGACTTCTTGCACTTTCTGAACCACTTGCCGAAGAGGTCATGTAGAATCATGATAGTGAGGCTTCGGACGTCATCAATTTTAGCCCCTCCCCTAAATGAATCACACGTCGAAACGCGCTTCAGGGAAACGCCTCCTCCGTTACTCGACACACGCCTCGAAGCCTCGGCTCATCTCATAACGTCACGACTAAATAGTGACATAAAGAAAGCATATTTAAATATCCTATCATACTGACTCATTATTTTATCCCCAAATTTTTTATTTCATCTAATTTCTTGTAAAAATAAACAAATAAATAACATCCAAAGTTGTTTTCACCGCCTTATTTTCTCATTTGAAACAAAAATCCCTGTTTTATTTTTACTTGATGCTGAAGTACTTGCCAGGATTTCTGCAGCTTTTTGTTAAACCGTTTAAGTGGAAATAATTATAAACCAATCAGACAGAAAAATAAATGTATTTTTATCCCCTACAATCAACCATGTTAAGTAGCTAATTTGACACAATTTTACCTTCAGTATAAAAAAAAGTATAAACACTGAGTCATCACCTATAACCTATGGTGTTTTATTTCTACTTTTTTAGCAGTAAGATTAATGAGCATCACTTATATGGAGTTTTATCCCCTGAAGTTTTAGTCTTCAAAGGCTCAGGAGGAAGACGGCCACCAAGAGACCAAGTCATCAGCATTAAATCTAGAGGAAGGTTTACCTGAAGCGTTCCTAGAAAAGTTAAGAGTACTAAATCTGTTGGTTACGACTTTTAAAAAGACTCTAATTTGCTTCTACCCTATTAAGATAACCAGAAACAATTCAGCCTCTATCCTAACATATATATATAGTTAACCAAACATTATTTTTCTCTTGGTCTTTTGCTTCTTGCTGAGACAGAATTTGAAAGTATATCAAAGAGTCAATGGCAGAATAATGCAAGATTAATGATTCAGAACCAGTTTAACCTGCTTCCCATGTGAGATAGTTGAACTTATGGAAGAGTTGTCAATTAATAAATACTTTGTTACCTTGCTTGAGTAGACATTTTGGTTATCTATACTTTACTCGAGTAATTATTTTGCAATTATCTCTACTTTATACTCCTTACATTTTAAAAATAGACTCTTTAGTTTTATTTAAGCTCATTTACATTATGGCCTGTTGGTATTTATAAAAAATAAAAACCATCAAAATAATTGTTTTCATCCAGAAAATGTATTTCTTTGTGGATGGCGCTGCACCAACTGGTTGTTTGCTACTGAACAAAATAAATACATTTTCAAGATGATGCTAAATTAAATCTGATACTGTTACCATAAAAAAAAAAAATAAAACTAAGAAAATTAAGAATAAGGAAGTTATCATCCATAATTATGGAAACATGTTCCTTATAATGCAGTAACCAGTATAAGGTTTAGCGTATCTGTCCTTAACATTTTTTCCAACTTTCATTTTACTTTTATTGTGTAAGTAGATTTAAAATGTGTACTTTAAAGTATTAGTTGAGTAAAAGCAGTAGGATTTATATTCTTACATGAGTAATAAACATTAAGACTTTTGGCACCTGTGTAGAGGTCAGACTCTAGCCTCGTGAGACCATCCTGATCTCGCGAGCTTTCAAGATTTCACTCGGTAATCAGTCTGGAGACTCTCCGTTAAAGAAAATTTAGAGCCGTTCACCAAACGAACGTCCAATCAGCGTTGGCTTTGAGGTGGGTTGAGGTGTGACACAACGATAAGCGCAACAGTTCAGTCTAAAGAACATGGCGGCTTCAGCCAATGAAACTAGCGTTAGCGTGGCTATCGAGCAAGTTCTTTCGGAGTTACAGAGTATTTCTTCACTGAAAGAAGAGCAAAACACTGCTCTGGAGGCTTTTCTCAGAGGAAAATATATGTTTTTGCTCTTCTCCCAACTGGTTTCGGCAAGAGTAGCCTGGCTTGTGGTTGTGTATCCGTCATCGGTCTGTTAGTACGTCATATGCTTCGTTGATCTGATTGGTTTATTTGACCCGTCTATCACCAACATAGGCCAATCAGCTAACCAGTATTTTCGCCCCTTCCCAAAATTACTTCTACGGAAGGTTTCCAGATGGATATGCGGAGCAAATCCGTCTGGCAGAGTCAGGTTAGTCAGACTCCACTTTGAACCACATTCAGTTTTATAGTTTTATACAGGATGTAAAGAAAACAAGAGGATTCTCTGAATGAAGCTCTCTGCTTGCTTACGTATATCTTGTTAGAATATAATTATAAAATCACAGTCAAACTGATTTGAAATGATTAGTTTTCAGTCTGTCATTACAAGACATGAAGGTCACCTGGGAGGAAATTCTTGTGTTACTAAAGCATAACTTAAAAAGTAGCAAATAATGTTTTGCATTAGTGCTTATCTGTTTGCCAGAATTAGAAAACACAAGTAGCAGGTCACATGGGAGCAATAGAGGCTGTAGCATCAAAGTTAAAACGGTGTTTGATGTGTCAAACGGGGGTGGGATGTTCAGCTCGTTATAGATTTAATCCTCAAAGGGGGAAAAAATCAGATTAGTACTTCAAGTTTAAGAATGCATTGAGGTTTATGATATGCTTACTATCAAGAAGGGTTGGAGGAATAAACATTTTGTCTTTTATCTATTTTTTTTCTGAGCACATTGGTGTAATAATTTGCTCTGCCCCTTTTCTCAGGTGCTAGATCTGTTTTTTATTGCAGCAATCCAAAGAAAATGGGCCCACCTCCATGGTTGGACCAAATGATCTCTGTTTATATTCCATATTCTATCTGGGAGATTTTATTATTTTTTTTGTAAAGGGCAAACAGCTGCAGAGCTCCTATCATCTCAGCCCTGCCTTGGGCAATCTGTTCTCCGTGTTCCCTGGATGAGCTAATTTTAGCAGAGTGAGATTAGATTAGAATCTGTTGGTGTGTGCTTGCAACACCCACAGGGCGCAAACATCACACTCACAAACCTACAGAACATTCTTCTTTTCCTAAAATCTGATGAATGTTTCCATCAGAAACCAAGAGGTTAGTTGCTTATTGAATGAAAGGCCAAAGGTTTCCTGTTAATGATCACATCAGTAAAAACAGCTCATAGTTCAGGTGTATATCTCATGGTAGATATTTCAATGGACAAAGGTTGGCAAAAACCTTAAGGCTCTGTTAGC